ATATATACGATATTTGACATGTTTCTGCATGTAAAAGTTCTATTAGAGAACTGAAAAAGTTTAATAAAAAGATACGGGGTATGCTGTGAATACATTCTCGTTTATCACAGTTTGTCAAGTAAATTTATTAATGAATTGAAAAGAATATACGTTCTTAATAAGTATCTTTATTCATCTTGTATAACTTATTTTGCAATATCAGAACAGCTTGCGATAAGAGATAGAAAAATCTTTATTACTTCGTTTGAAAATACATAATTCTTTCATCATGTTCGTGATTTTCATTATATGATGTCGTACTTTCTAAATATTCGATGTTATCAAAAAATTTGTTGTCTAATATTCTCGGAGTAGCTATAGAACCTTCTAGTGTATGTGAACTGACTATGACGGCAAAACGCAATCAGTCCGGAATAGAAATGAATAGAGCTAAAACTATAGATAACCACTAGTAGTCTGATGTTTATTCTGCTGCGACGAATAATACTGACTAAGTGCCAATTCTACTAGATTTTATCTTGTTACGAAAAGATATTCAGTATAACAAGAATACGGAGAATAAGTTATTTTGAAACATGCACTTCCAATTGATTACGAATTTATTTTTTCTTTAACTAGCAACTTTCTTAGGAGATCAAAACGATGTTCGAGATTCAATTGATTAACCTCATACTATTTTTAAAATATTGAATATTTTAAAATAATGCATTGTCATGAATAATTATTTTTTAATTTTCTCGGATCAAATAGAATTCATTTAACTGAAATCAATACGAAATAAATTCTCAAATTTCAGCGTTCGAATATTCTACCAGTACGAGATCTTCCATACGTACGTTTATTTTTGAGCAAATGATATATCAACATAGTTTTCGTTCATTTATTATTCGTCATCATCATTGCTCATTTCGCACATTCCGTGTATTCAATTTGATGGAACAAATTCAAGTACTTGTGATCTTAATTATGAATTACTTTTTGAATATATTGTTAATTATCATAGATAGATTCTTTGTTATCCTATTATCAAATCACTGATTTTTAGTTGGTGTTTTGTTGACCAAATTGTTACTTCAAACTTTGTCATTAATCATTGAATACCAATTGAATAAATTCATATTGTTATTCAATGAATATCTAATTAATTTAGTTGTAGAAAGACAAGAACTTTGTGCCAATGTTCTTACGGAAAGTAATGATTATTTTTGGAATAGATTGTTTAAGTATAAAATACAATTCATTTACGATATATTAATAAAGATACTTAATAATCTTCACAATTATTTGTATCGAGATGATATTTTAAAGTTATGAGTTTAAAAGAGTAGTCTATAAAAAATGAACTTTTAAGATTAATCACACTAAGTTTTTATTACTTGGTCTTCATCTGTATTTTAAAAAGATCAGTTATAGGATTGTTTGTAAAGATATTTGTTTTTTTAATATGAGAATGATCTTTCAACTTTCTAATAATGAAAAGTTACAATTCTCGAACTGTTGAGCTTTTGAAATAGGAAAATCAAGATGACGTAATGAATCTTTAGTATAGTCTAAGTTTGTTTTGTGTTTAACGAGAGAAAGCAATGGTAAAGAATGGGTGAAGATCTAATTGAAGTAAATATAAAAGTTATTATTCGAAGTTTGTCTTGAATATTTGACATTTATCTATCATATCTTAAGAATGATTTGACTATTTTATCATAATTTTGAAATAGAAGATCAATTTATGAGGACCAGAACAGGATGAATATTTCATCAGTGAAAGAAACTATGAATAGAAAATAAGTTATAAAGATTATCAATATAATTGTCATATTTTAAAAATGAAAAGTATTCAAGATCTTGAATTCGCTAAGAGAATATTATGAAGCCAACATTTCACATATGCATAAAACACCGATTCATACATAAGATGACATAGTGACTTTGTTGCAAATATAAAATTAATAATCAAGCAATGAAAATCTGATCAAAATATGGTTATGATATTCAAAAAATCATTTCTTATAAAACTTCATTAATGTGCATGATGAAAACTTCATAATTGTCATAGTATCCGATTTCTTTCGAAATTCATTACTTTCTTGAGTACCATTTGAAAAAAACAAATTTTTCTAAGTTCTAAAATTAAGAGATAGGAAATAATCAAAGAGAGGAAGTGAGTGACTTACTCCTTGTGATTTTCTTCTTTTTATGACAGATTGTGCAAACATGAGATAAGATAGAAAAAAAAATAAAATACTCAATATCATTTAATTTTGTCATACTAGTCAGTAAAGATTTTTGCTAGACTATTTTTTCGAGTTAAATAGGACTTGAAAGTTTAGCTATGATATTGAAAGATGAAGAATGTTGTAAAGTTTTTATTGATATGTTCTGTTTTAAATCAGCATGTACCATGATTGTGTAGACTAAAACGTATTAGATTCTTGAGAAACATCGCTTGTTCAGCATTTTTGAATAGAATAAAGTGTCACTTTTATTTGTTCAATAATTTTGTATTCACTATTCAAACATACTATGACAGTGTATAAACATGCCTTTGTTTTTTAGTCACAAAATATGCTTAATTATCCATTTTTCGTACAGTTTCCTATCGATGGAAATATTTCAACTTTCTCATTTGATTAGAAAATAGGTCAGTCCTTTTAAAAGGTGAGCATTTTGTAGAGCTTGAAATTCTGCATCTATTTATATAAAAAGAATAGGTTTTTGTAAGACTAAGTTCTGAGAAAATTC